TGCTTAAGAAAAGGTCTGGAAATTGGAATAAGTTGAAAACCAGAAATAAGGGTAAAAATGATCAGACCCAAAACAATTTAGGACACGCTGGTATTTCAATTTCGTCCAAAACGAAAATTAGGTTTTTTACCTACTTAATATTACTTTTGATTCAAATTTTCGTAATTTCTTATAATAAACTTGCTTCAATTGATTTAATAGGAGCTTTTAATTTATAAATTAAATTCCCGGAGCTCAAGTTTTATGAAGTTAAAAAATTCAATTTAGTAAGCAACTTGTTCTACAATATTGCATTAAAAAATTTTATAATTTTTAAATATTGGGCTGTTCCATTGAAAAATTATTCTCTCAATCGTAAATGTAAGGTTAGAATCTAAAATAAGAATTTAGTGCACAATTTTCTTCATTACACACAAAGGCGGGAAAATAGTAAGTAGAAAATTCCTTGACATTATGCTCATTTTCTTAAATATTACATACAGAAGCATTTAATTGCAAAAGTCTATTTATTTATTAGTTCGAATCCTTGATTATGACATAAAAGACGATCTATTCTCATGGGTCTTAGTAACAAGAACAACAAAATTTCAATAAGAATATTTTGCCTGTTATGTTTTTCTCAAAGTTTCTTGTTTTTCTTTTTATTATTACACCCTCCATCTTCATTTTAATCTGAAAATGATAAGGGTCTAGAAATTTTTTCGAATATATTCTTATTTTTAAGTTTAAAATAAATTTTTCCTGTTCACGTTTTATTCTCAAGTATGTTTCTTGTATATGTATGTAGAATTTCCATTATAAAATGAAACGGCACCAACCAAAAGAAGAGAATTCTCAGTTCAAGGACATGAAAAAAAAAGTAATAAGAGTGTCACAAAACATTTATTTTTTATGTTTTCCCCCTAAAAATTTTTTTTATATTTTTTGGAGATAGTTAAAAAACAAAACAAAAAATAAAAGGCATACAAAAATAATGTAGGTTTTTGGGGCTTCCCTTTTTTATTTCCGGTTCCATTGAAATCATTGGGGTCTTTTTATAAATTTCATGTATGTATGTATATTAATGTGCCTTTTTTAGCTAGACATGAGCCGAAAGCAAAATTTATTTATATTTTGCATTTTTATGTTTTTGCTATTTTTATTTTACTGTTTTGTTTTTATTCTTGAATATTTCGTTTGATTTATCTTACTTTATTTAGTTTTCCATACCATATCCTGCCATTTTAGAAGTACCGGATAAAAGGATAATTTAATAGGAAATTATATTACGAAAGATATAGGTTTTTTGAATGTCCTGCGGAGAGATTATCAGTCGGCAAAATATTGCGGTTAAATTTTTCTAAAAATATCACTAAAAATTTAACTTTAAATTTGCCTATAAAAATAATCATTGACTTGCAGTATAAAGGTGAAGAATTATTAAGATTTTAAAGTCTTAAATTAAAATGTGAAATTTTAAAGGTTTATCCTGAAATATAACCTAACAACTTTCATTCCAACGTATGCTAATACAGAATTTTCTCAACTGCGACAGTCTTAAATTCCAATTGGAAAATGTAGTGCTGTAAGGCATGGAAAATAAGATAGTACTAAGTAGTCTTTAAATATTAAATACTTTTCTATATGTGAGTTAAAAGTAAATTTTTGGTAATCCTTACATTTTTAAAAAAAAATCTAAATATTTGCCAACGAGATATGAAAAATACCTTAAAGCATTGATCATTCGAATTCTGTTATAAGTTAGGCACCAGTTTCGTCTTGCATTTAAAATGACTAGGCTTGATTATTTTAACAAATAAAAATATAATAGCAGGTGAAAAACCGCTAAATACCCATTTGAGAACATAGATGCTATGACATTTAATGAAAATTTCATTTCAAAGCAAAAAGTTTTGAGCGGTTAAGCGTATCCCAGCGATCATGAAAAAGCAGTACAAACTTAGCTAATAGAAACGAATTCCGATTTTCTGTAAAACTTCAAAATTTATTGGGCTATATCTCTGAAATCATAGAGCTATTGTATTGAAATTTGGCATAGGTGAATGTATAAGCAGGGCTAATGTGTTTGATAAAAATGTCGTTGGAAATTGTTGGGTTTTCTCTGATAGCTGGCATTCGAATTAAAAAGTTACTTAGTTATATCTTAAAAACTTTTCACCCTACTGTAATTTTGCAAAAAAATTATGGCAAAATGGCAGTTATATTCTATAAAAGTAATTCAGATCTCATGAGCGAAATACAACTATAAAAGTTACTATATTATCTTAGAAATTATCAAGTGCATTGTTTTGGAAGTTTTGCAGAAGTAAATATATTGTTACGACTGTTATGTTCGATAAAATCCGTTGAAATTTCTCTACTGTTTGTGATAGCTGCTATACAATAGTTGTTCGTTCATTGCTCAGAAACTATTAAAGCTACAAAGATGAAATTTTAAATAAACGGATTTGGTGATGCGACCATCATTTTCAGTAAACTTCTTTTAGATTGCATGGATTTATATGATAAGTACCATTTATGTATGTATACAATATAGAACTAGAATACAAAAAGCAAAAGGTTGTATCCCAATTATTTCCGACATTTAAAATCACTTATTCGTGCCAGTATCTCAGAATTAACATGGTCAACTGCAATCCTCTTTCTCGTTTTTTTTAATTTTTTTTAATTTTGATCACGGACCTCTGTTTTTTCGAATTATTTTGGACTAGGGCTTGAATTGACAAAATTTAAAGGTGGAACCGACAAAATTAACAAATTTTAAAAGCGACTTTTGCATTTTGTTTGACTTCCTCTCTATATCAAATAAAATTCCTGTAATTATTCTTTTAGTGGAATAAAGTTTTTAAGTACATTCAATCTAAATTGAATATTAAATTTTAGTTTTTTAATTAAAAATTTTCTGTATCCTTCTATTTTTTATATTTTATTTTACAATTAGAATTTTTACAAAAAATATTTCAAATAGGCTAGCGATTGATATGGGTTTCCATTTTGATATTAGATTTAAAGTGATTCATCAAAACTTAGGCAATAAGAAAGAATTTGTAGCATAAAACAAAAAACTTTTATTATCTAGAATAATTCAAAATTTTCAATTATCCTTTTAGTTTTATAACACTTTTTAAAATAAAACAAAAATTTTTTTTTAATTAAGAAACAAAATTTTAATTTTATACCTTAATATTTTACTTATAAATTACGAAAATTGTAAATTTGTAACATTTTAATTGTAATTCTTAGAAAATTACATGAAAATTAATTGTAGGTATAGCATACTTTTAGGTAAAAACTAATGTGTACCTACTATAAATCCTTTTTACTTATGAAGATTGTTACTTTTACAATAAAAAAATAAGAAAATTGTTTTAAATTTATTATTATAGTTCTAAGAATATTATTGTTGAAAAAAAATATTGTGTAACTTTCATTTGGGTACATGAGTTTGTTGTTCAATTAAAGAAATTTTAAAATAATTGAATTTCTTATAAAATATGAAATTAAATTTTTCTTTTTCGAAATAATTTTGTAAAATTACCCTTTTTGGGTAAAAATGAAGAAATTTAAATTAAAAAACATTTTCTTTATAGGGCCTAAAAATTATATTTTAAACTCGAGTGAAAATTTCAGTAACATTTATAATTTGATTATGAAGCTTCATAATGTAATTCTGAGAAATATTTTTTCTTTACTCCTGTAACGAGTTTTATGAAATCATAAGTTATAGTTCAATTCGGAATGTAGTAAGTTCAATTCAGTAATAAAATTTTTAATTTGAACTGAAACTGAAATATGATAAATATAGTATAGAAATTACGATTCCCTAGCTATCGTTTTTATTTAAAAAACTCATTGTAGTCTGAGCAGATGGTGTAATAGCGCACGACGACCAGCACATAAAGACTCAATTGTGCCTACCTATAAAAAAAGTGTATTATTTAAATATTATGAATACCAAAATAAGAATTAAGTATTTTTTAAATTATTTGATTTATTTGTAATATCCTTGAATTTTTCCAGTAAATGGAAAATGAATGCAGATATGAACCTGATTGCTTTGCGTAATGGCAAGTCATCAAGCTGAAGTTATTTTCCGAAATATTGCGATCAGAGTACGTTTCAAAAACAATAATTCTTAATGTTTTATATTTTCAAAGTATTCTAATTGGAATATTTTTTTCCTGTTTTTACATTCGAATTTTTTGAGTATACTTTGTAACTCTCATTTTATTTAGTATGGTTTTGTTTTAAAATTTTTTCTGGTTTTTTTGTCCATTTCGTTTTTCCGTTTGGAAGAAAGGAAAGGCTAGTTACATTAAAAATTGCAATTTTTTAGTGTAAAGAAAAATTAGGAAAAAAGTGGTTGTTAGTGTAACTCTGTGCGTCCGTCCGTGAACCCGAAGATAGAAAACTGAAATTCGACATGAACCTAGATCTTTACTAGAAACTTATTTCCGTAAAAAATAAGTTTTACCTGTCTACTACACTCTAAAAGTTACAGTTTTTCAGAGTCCTAAAAATGCCATCTTTTAAGTAATTATTGTAGCGAAACTGGAAACATTTTTCAAATTCTGTAAACACAGAAAAGTGGCGACTGGCTTCATCTATCGCGGAATACAATATTGGAACTTTAAAAAAACAAAATGGCCCATAAAATATACCGTTGTATTATATTTAATTCATAAGTAAAATAATTGATTAGTATATTTAATTCATAAGTATATTATTCATTTGTGACATAAAAACAAGAGCGTCGTTCAGATAGAATTTACTCTATTCTATCGAATAAAGTAATTTTATTACCAACGTTATTTATCTAAACTATAGAAATATTTTCTGTTTTAGTTTTTTTAACCAAGGAGGCTATTACGAAAATTTTTTAGATAAATTTTACAATTTATTTTGACTCTGAAAAATTTTGCCTACTTTTAGGGTTTAATATATCAAATATATTGCATTTAATTAAAATTTTGTACAATCTGTCACAGCATTTTATTTACTTATATTAAATGCCCTATTTCTTTCATAAACTCTTCCATTTCAGTAGCTTTAGATAATGGCGAGCCAGCAAATGCCGGCTCATGTTGATGTAACGGAACACCTGAAGGTGGTAAAACAAGAAAAGAAGGTACCACATTTTTCTTCCATATAAATAAATGCTCTTAACTTCAGAATCGTGCGACATAGAGTAAACTATAGTAGAGTTAATCATAATAATATGCCGAATTTCTCCGGCATATAATGAGGATACATAATTTAATAATAAATTTTTTTAAAAATTGATTAATTGTATAAAATCATCTTTAAGAACCGACTTATCTGATGAAACAAATAAATAAGTGTACATCTTAAAAATTGAAAATTACTACCCTATAAATTTATTAATTTGAGACAATTCAATATGATGAGTCAACGCTGCTTGAGTTAATCTATATTTTCTATACTTTATTTGGAAACCTCTTGCATTTGTTAAGTACATTAAGTACAGTTTGTTTAAAACATTAAAATTTTACTATTGTTAAAACAATAGATTTATTAAATTTAAGATTTTTCTTTCGATATGATTCCCCTTTTATATACATATATTATGTTAGAGCTCACTAGATCAGTTTTTTTCGCCTCCTTGTTCAAAATTCTTTAAAATACTGTAATATACTTATATAGAGAAAAAAACATATTTTCCATATGTTGAAAATGATGAAAATGATTTCCAAACAAAGAGTATTCCTGTTGAATTTTAATAACAATGATGATTGTTATAATAAAGCACAAAAGATAACACTCTTTTTTTTTTGCACTCCCCTATTGTTTATGCAACCATAACCGTATTCACTACTTACGTTGTATACAAAATTAATTTTTATTATGTGTGTTAGTTAAAGGATTCATTTTTTTTTTATTTTCTATTATTATTTTTCTGTTTTTGATAGAGAAAAATCTAGATAACACAATTTTCATCGTATCTATAGAAACTCAAGATGCAAGTAAAATAGTAAAAAAATTTTTTTTTGCATAATATGCACTTTCATTAAAATTCAACTCAAAGTAGCTGGTAATTCTAAGACGAATCAAGTAAATATTGTTGTTCTACAATATATATGATTATGCGTTATGGTTATGATATGATTTAAGGATGAGTATAATTTAAAAAAAAGAAGAAAAAAACGAAAAAAGAAAACAATATCAATTAAAAGAGGTTATTGAAAGCCATACATTGTTATCGAATATCATAAGCACTTATATACCTACATATGATATAATATTTACATACATTATATTGGATAACATATGCATTAGAGAATGAAGACAAACATATTTTTATTAAGTATGTATATGTTTATACGTAGATGCAAGTGTAAAGTTTGTAATTATGAAAATAAAAAAAAAAAATAATCAACCCCATTCTATTGTTTGCAAATATTATAATTTTTAAAGGAGAACAAAGTGTTTTCGACATAATTTTCCTTAATGTAAAAAGTGCACAGGGTGTTTGATTTTATCAGAAATCAAAGAATATAAGTGTGTACAAAACCAACATTAAGTACACTTCATGAACCGTCTGATAATTTTATTCAAAAATCTTAAATTAATCAGACTTCGCTTCAATCAATTTCCTGCCAAATTGTATAATCTAACATGAAAATAATACTTTATTGCACTCAAGACCTGAAGCCCAGAACATGCAATAAAGAATTGTTATTAATGACATCCCTTATAATGCATTCACTAAAATCAAAAAAACGACATTAGTTAGATTTCAATTGTGATACTCTGTGATACCTATACGAATGAATGATTTTAAGAGTTCTATGATAATTGCCATATATCACCTCTTGTTTTTGATGTGTATGGTGATATTTTATACATGCATGAAAGCTAACATATAAACTAGTGGAATATCGAAGTCTTTGTAATACTTTCCGAATACACCTTCAATGTTATATTACGCTTTCTAGCATAAATAGGAGTTAAACTTTCGAATAAAAATATTTAAAGTGTAAAAAAAAATTGTCCTAATCTAAAAATCTGAATATTAAAATAAGAAGAAACTATTTGAGTCACATAACCATGTACTTTATTGGAACATAAAGAGGATCGAATAGCTCGAACATTTCGCCTTTTCGGAGTTTTCAGAATTTTTCGTGATCCAGTATTTAAATCGGGAAATTGTGAATGTAATAAATAATATTTAAATGCATGAGAATGTTAAATTAAAAGAAAAGCGAAAAATTAGATTCAAAGGACAGTTCAACTTGCAAGAAATTTATAAGAGCAGAGTTTAATGGCAATATTTATTAGATTTACACTTCCCACAATCACTATGATTGTGACCTAATTAGTTTAACAGAAAAGAAATTCTAATTTTTTACTTGAAAAGGCGTATCTTGTCTTGCAGATTCTATTACTTTCTACATCTTTCACATAAAAATTAAAAATATATTACAAAAATTTTGTAAAAATGTGTCTATTTATTAATCTATGAGGGTAGGTTCTTATTATTGACAGCAAAGAATTCCAAATAAAAATTTTTATGTTGTAATATTCAAATATTTTATAGGCGAGTGACACTGTATAATGCGACTAAGATTAATTACGACCTATTTTCCAGTTAAACACATGTCAATATGTACAGCCCCTCAACAATATTTTTCTTTTCGATAATAAAAACATGATAATCTTTTTAATGAAAATGATGAGAAAATGCTATAACTTTGATTTTTCCATATTGTAATTTAAAAATATGATATTCCGAACAATGATAATATTAAAATCGATAATATTCCTTAAGTAGTTCTCTGAAAACTTTTATAGAGAAAGTTTTAGAAAAATTTTAATATTTTCAAAAGTTAAAATTGAAATTTAAAACCAAATGATTTATTTGAAATGATATAACGCTCTTGTGATTGTGTGTTTCAAATTGTAGATTGCATGTAGCATCTCAATGTAAACAGTACTTAGTAATCATATGGATTGCAGTATAAAGCAATGTGTAAAACATTTTATCGGCAATTTCTTCATACCCCTGTAGCTAAGTTGGTAGAGCGCCCGCCTAGAAAGCGATAGGTCACTAATTCGAGTCCAGTTCGTGGAGAAATATTTTTTAATTTTTCTGTCTTTAACTCGTTGCTTTGGTTACGTCATACATCTGTTCTGCAGTTGTATGAAGAAATTTCCATTAAGTTAAGATTTTTTAAGCTCTAAGAGTGTGGTTCTAAATACTATAAGAAATTATTGAAAGATTAGATGTAATAATAACTTTGTCTTAACAATCGTGTTTATATTTTCTTACAAAAGAGAAATTTTACTGAACGCTATTAAAGCGAAATGATTGTTCTTTAAATCTTTAATGACAATTGAAAAATACCACCATTATAATTACCAAGATTTTGAAGTTAACACCGATGCATCACTTGCTATAATTCGTATTCAAATTAGCAAAGTGGCCAAAAAAAGAATAAAGCGCTAAATAATTTTTTTTAAACGATAGTTTTAACGAATATTGAATCAGAACTTGATGTAATTCGATTTAAGCAAAAAACACAAATTTCCCAAAGATTCTAATCAGTATTTACATCTGTAAAGCATGCTTATCTTTATCAAGTTACTGCAATATGAGCAATTTTTAAATATGGCCAGCACTTAACCGACTACAATGTGTATTTCAATAATAATAATAAAAATTTCAACGAAAACTAGCATTGAAAAATGCCAATTTATTGGCAGAGTTCTAATGATTATTAGAGTTCGGATTACGCAAATGAAGTTTATCAGTTTCTTTAATAAATGAGGCCGGAATACAAAATTTCAAGAAAAATTTTTCCTTGAATATACCCAAAACTATAGAATCAGCTGAAATTATAAATATCATTATTATTCACAAATTTGATCAATTTCCCGCATTCCTGTATTAATTAAGATTAAAAAATCCGAGTGTTGTCGAAAATAATACAGACGTGAGCAACTGACAAATAGGCGCCAAGACATTTTTGTTCAAAATATTTTATTTACGTTTGCGTATCATGGAGAATGTACCTACATAATTTGGAACCACCACCAAAAGCGTCACATCGTATTAAAAAGTTAAACTCCTTTTTGAAACCTGATCTTCCGGATTGATTTGTCTTTGATAACTCTTTCAAAGTTTCAGGTTCCAAAAATTCATCAATTCCAAATTTTTGTCTCTTCTATTCTTGTTTTGAAAATCCATATCAAATGATACGATGAAAAACTCGTGAATATTCACGAATATTAAAAAATTATTGTGTTAAAACGAACTTGTTGTGACACATATTTTTGCATATTAGGATGCAAACAATTTACAACTCTTACATTTATGTATTTATGTATACTCACATATGTGTATATGTATGTAATGAAAATGTTATGAGAAAAAAATTTTCTAATTTTTGTGCAATGACAGCTTTTATTTTTTTTTCCTTGACGAACAGCTTGTCATATAATTGTCCTTAGTGGTATGAGGTTATGCCAACAAAGGTAGCATATTTCTAAACGAAAAAAAAAATCTTTGACATTTAATAAAAACTTAAATGAGTGTTTATGATTTTATCATGACATTCTTCAGTACTATAGATTAAAACTATACTCGTATTCGAAAAAGGATTAAAAATAAAACTGCTGAAGTTTTATTCACTTTTTTTTATTCATGTCTGTAAAACTGTTGTAACTCCCCCCTTAAACAAATGCAACTTGTGAATTGTAAGAATTCATAATATTCAACAATATTATTTTGAAAAATTAAAATTTCAAAGTCTATCATTAAAGAATTTATTAATATTAGGTTCATTTTTTTGGTGTAAATCAACATTTCCAGGAAATTTTTAATAGAATTTATTTCTTTAAAATGACTGAAATGTCTATTCCCGTTACTTCATACAAAAATCGAAAGTGAAGAAGAATTTTAGATTTTTCATTCAAATTTAAGAAATTTTCTCCCATTAAATTCAATAAACATATTTACCTTTCTTAAATTTGTAACACGGAAGCACTAAATATTCTCAATGTCAAAAAAGAAAAAAAAACAGAAATAATAGAAGGGATCACAAAATCTTTAATAAAAACAACTTTTATCTTCCGTTGTCTGTACTATAATAGGCATTTAATAAACATGCCTACATATCCCGCGTCACGTTTCAAGAAATAAAAGCTTTTAAAGGACGTCTTGAGTTTTTCTTTTCTTTTAATACTTCAATAATAATATAAAATAACCTTTTTCATACCTTTTTTTATTTAATAATGAATACTTTAACTTTATGTGAAATTCTCAGATTTTCGATACTTTGATCCTTTTGAATATTAATGTATCAAGTTTAACCGAAAAAAAAATTGTAGGATTTCACACAGAGATTGTAATTTAAACCTATTGTTAATGATTCCTTTCTAATCAATTGTAGAAGAAAAAATTCAGACATTGACCCGATTATTTCACAAGCTTTCAATAAAAAAAGAAAAAAATTAAATTTATTGACACATAGGTACCAAATAATCAGCGTGCTTTATATTATATTTGTAATCATATCGTTTTAATTTTACCTACATATATACGTAAATTTTTCTAGAATTACAAATTAATATTGCATTTCGCCTAGGTTAACAATCTCTAAAGAACCACGACCAATTATTTTAATTTAACATCAATTTTAAATATGTACTCTCAGAAGCTGCTATCAACAGGTTTTTACAAACAGAAGCAGAACTGAACTAAAAGCCTTTTTTTAAAGCCGAAAATTTAAAATTACATAAAAGAAGTTTGAAATAATTAAAATATCAAAAAATTAATAATGATACTTCAAATCTCAAGATTTTCTTATTAACTTATTTTCTTAATTTCTATAACAAAACTAAAGTGGTTCGGCTGGTTCCTTTCCCCTATATGGAATAACAGATTTTAATGCCTAGAACTTTATTTTATAGAATTAACTGCATGTATAAAATTATTATTTATAACTTTTTTTTACTTTTTGATTGTCATGATTTACTTTGCGATATTTTTATTCTTAAATGTAATTCAGTATTTCGTTACAATATCTCAAGCTTTTTATTTATTTGGTAAAATCAACAACAAACAAATAAAATATTTCGAACAATGTCACGTGGATCTATATCGATGTTTTTTCTAGATATTTTTAAATATTCAAGTGTAAAAATACTCTGAACATGTATACGTCTAAAGAAATGATTTGAAACACTTGTTTAAATAAAATAAAAAAATTTCGTTTTAAAATATAAAAAACGTGAAAATTGAAAGTTGTTCATTCATAACAACGAAACACCTTATTAAAAAGCTTTTGTTAATGCTTTCTTCTTATGATTCAAGAAAAGCAGAAACTAAAGATGGTTTTTGTCTTTATAAACTAACAAAATGTGAAAGAGATAAAGCAATGAAAAGACACAAATTGTTGCTGTAATTTTTTTTAAATTATTAAGGAAAGATAGATATTTGGCTTAATAAAAATTGAAGCACCCGGTTTTTCGCAAGAATTCCTTAACGATAACAGGTAGGAATAGGTTTGATCAAAGGTATATTAAAATTTAGTTTACGGTAGTGTTAAATGTGTTGAAATTAGGGAAAGTTGCAATGTCAAGGAATGATACCTAATATAAGTACATATTTCTAACAGAGACCTTGTTTCCTATAACTGAGGAATAGAATTCGACTTACATAAAATACAATTTTTTAAATTATATTTAAAATGTGTTATCCTGTAATGTTGTTTTTACTCTATCTCCATTTTCATCAACAACGTATTACATGAGCACTTCCACGTAAATAAATTTTTTGACATAGTAATCTAGATTAGTGAAAAATATCAGTAAATTATTGGGAAAACAACTGGAATTGTAAGAATTGAATCTATTTTAATCAACATTCGTCACAAATAAAGCCTTTTGATTTGCTCTGACCGCAGTTTCTTTGTTACTTTTCTTATTTTGTTAATTATAGTAAAATTATGAAACGATCATTGATCTTTGTTCGACTAAAATCGTTTTTTAGTGTTTCTAAGTAAATAGGTCATAAAAGTAGTGAACGCTGCACGCTTATGATTCTTTTATTTTGTCTTTAAAATAATTCATTCTTGACACATGTTAAGTCTGTTAAAAGTTTTGTGTTTTAAAAATATAATAAATTGTCTGTTATCAAAAATCACCATAAGTTAATAAAATATTATTCGAACTGCATCTTTAATTTTATATAAGCGTAAAACTCATTTCAATATCACAATGAAATTAAAACAAATTTCTTTATTAATATTTTGGAATTTCATATTGGTAAGAGAATTAACCTAATTAAAAATAATAAAATCAAATTTTAAACATAAAAATTTTTTCTCATTCCTAGATCATATCAGGTACATCAGCTTTACCAAATTCTCCAGAAATTCCTCCAATCGCACGTGCATCTCTTCTTCCAGATGCACCGGCTTCTTTTGTACCCCCACCGGATCTTGCCATTCCACCAGTAGCTCCTCCATTATCTGTAGTACCGCTATCTGTGGGACCTGTTGTTGAAGTAAGCCCTTTAATTGCACAACCCGTTGTCGGAGGCCCGGTTGTGGCTGTGGCTGGTGCCCCAATTCTCTCACCAGTTCCCAAATTAATAATATAAGCCAGCTGTAATGACAATGTCACATATTATGAAAATGATAATGCTTGTGAGGACTTTATGAGACCTTCAGATATTAAATTGCGTTGATTTACATCAGTTCTATTTCCGCCATATTTTATTCCTGTAATGCAAATTTTAAAATTAGCACATTTAATCCTAAAAATTTTGTAAGTCTTATATTGCATTAATATTTTGAAAACTAATTATTACTGTTTGATGAAAGCACAAATATATTTTTTACGCAATTTTATATTTAAAATTTGTTAATAAAATTTTTTAAAAAATAGAGTTAAATTAATTTTCTCAAATGAGTTAAAATGTTAGCTTGTTTCAGCTTCAGCCCAATGCAAAACTTTGTACAACAAGAATCAAGACAAATCTAAAAATTGTTAAAATTAAAAATAAAGCAACATAGGAAACAATTAAGTGTTTTGAAATTTAATCCCTTTCAAGAACACAAATTTGAGTATGCTATAGTTATGTATCTGATGTGGTTAGCACGTATTCCAACCAACCAACCGTATCGTAACTAACCGCAAAATGTATTTCGCATTGAGCGACAGTGTTGCATAGGATTTTTAAAATTCTTTCAAATTCAAAAATTGCTAATAATAGCTTTCAGTTACTTTAAAAGCTAGAGAAATGCAAATTTGAATATAAATAAAGGTTTACTTTATACGATCTGAATTTCCTGAAAATTTCGTCAATTATAGTTTTGGTGAATAAAGGAACTCAAATATCAGTTAGATTCTCAATATGGCTTAAAATAGATATGATAAAAAGTATGAAACTGCTTCCTGGTGAAAATTCGGTTTCCGAGCAATAATAATCTCAAAAAATATAAAATGTGTAGTTCGTTGTTTCAATACCCAGAACTAAAATTTTACATTTCAAGGATATCGGGCGATCATTTATCTGTACATAAAGAGATATGTAAATTAAATCCAGCAAATTGTATGTAATGCGGCAAAAGCTTAGTTACTTGAATCTCATTTCATAGAAAAGTTTGGTGGTTTACCGTATTATGAGCCCGCAGTAAAGGTTTACTTCAAAAGAACTGAGACATCCCAAAAATTAATTAAACCGCAATATAACCAAACAGAACTCAGATATAAACTTTTAGCAAAAATCGTTTTAGTCGAAGTGGAGTTACACAAGTTCACACAAAAACCGGTATTTTGCTAAAAGTAGTTTATTTAAGATTCTCTAAAAAAATATTTTATTTTTCTAGAACAAAATTTGTATAACATCCACTTTTATATTTCATTTACATATATATCTTTAGGACACTATTAACTCCCCCGGATTTTTAAATTAGAACAGACACAAATATGAGTCAGTATAATAAATTCAATTCCTAACGGTGTGTTATTATTAAAATAAAAAACCCATTTTTTCTCTGATCGTGCTCTTTTCAAAATTATTAAGAACATTGTCTTTAATTTTAGTAATTTAGTTTCTTTCAAAGTTCATTAACATGTGGTTCATTTTTTAAACTTATTTTCGTAAACAGGTTGTATAAATTCAATAAAAACAACACACTTATCAATTTGCGTACAATCTTAATTTTTTCTTATGAAATTTTGTGCATTGTTTTATATATTTATTTTAATCATATCTGCAATATAAAAGTGTATTTATATAATTTTGAAATATAAAATGTAAATATCATGCTATACAGATATTATTTAAATTTCAATTTTCATTTTGTAAACATCTGATTTGGAATTATAGACAAAAATGAAACTCGAAAAATTGTTTTTACCACCACTTTTCAAGTTTATTTTTGTAAGAGTATACAAGGAATATTTTTCGAAAAAATCTAAATTTTTCTTTTGTTCACAGATAAAATCGATTATTTTTGGATCAATATTTTTATTACAAGTTCGCAGCCAACTTTTACCAGTTACTCCTGTTATACCCCCTCTTGGCTCTTCGCCTCCTCCTCCAGTTGTTCCTTCGCCTACTCCACCAGTCAATCCAGCATCAACTCCCCCAGTGGGTTCCACACCCTCTAATCCAGTTTCCAATCCTCCAGTCAGCACAGAACCAATTCCACCGCTTGGTCCACCTGTCCTTCCACTACCAGCTCCGCCAGTTGATTCCACACCCTCTCCAGTAACTAATCCAGTTTCTAATCCTCCATTGAGTACAGGACCAATTCCACCACTTGGTGCACCCATACTTCCATCACCCTCTCCCGTATCAGCTCCTTCAGTGGGTGTAGGACCAGTTCCTGCTCCTCCAGTCAGTACAGGTCTAACTCCGCCAGTTGGTCCAACTGTCCTTCCGTCACCGGTGTCGCCAGTTAATCCATCATCTACTTCACCAATTATTCCACCTCTTGGAGGATCACCTGCAACACCAAGTACACCGTCAGTCGTTCCGCCCCTCTCTGTACCGCCCTTGGTGCCGGACAATCCAATATCTCCGATTAATCCAGGACCTATTTCCCCAGGAAATCCACCAATAACCTCCCCTGTTTCGCCATCTAACACAGGTCCTTCACCTTTGATTGTTTTACCTCCACTTACTTCAATCCTTCCTTTAATCATTTCTGTGTCACCTGTTACCCCAAATACTCCAGCTGTAAATCCTTCAGATGGCCCACCCACCATTGCTCAACCTGTTGGTTTATCGCCTGTTGCACCACTTGTCACACCACCACCAACCGTTGCACCGGCTTCTCCATCACTTTTACCTTCAATTAGTCTGTTATGATATCAGAACAATTAAAATGTAATTATAAAATATACTATTTTCTACTGTTATTATGGCATTTTAAAATTATTTAGGTCTAACAAACGACATTTCAAATTTTCTGCGGGGTGATGATTAAGGTTTACTTATATTTTTAGTGAATCCTATTTTATTACTCAAACCTTATAAGAATATTACTAAGTAAGAAATACCGCAGTATAAATATTGATAATTATATTATAAATTATAAATTAATAGCTATTAATTTTTTTTTAGCTCCAATTAAATTATTTTAAAATTTTGTGAATAAAATCTTAAAAAGAATATTAAATTGTGTATAAATTGGTTATGCGACATACAGTTTAAAATCTTACAAAAATTTTTTATACCGCTGTTATAGATGTCTTTTCTTAATTGGCATTAAGACATCTTAAATCCTAAAAAAGGCTTGAGATGAGCCTTAAAAATTAATTTTATATTATTGAAACTTCTCGAAAAGTTCTAGAACCTTTTTCAAGTACATGTCTAAGAATTGATCTTCTGCCCTTAAGGACTCTTTGAAGTCCTTAGGTTTGGGGAAATCTTGTTTATCTATGAATATTTCAATTAAGGCAAGTCAAATTTAGCTGCCTTGTTTGTTTTTTCACTTTTAACATTTTACAAACCCTTCTTAAATTCGGCATCTAAAATAAATAAAAGCACTAATAGTGTTATTTTTTTCCGAACTAATTTTAATCCTTAGTAACGTAATAAACAACATTTAACTAAACTACAAATAAAAATTTTTACTTTGTTACAAAAAACCTCTTAAACTAGAAAATATCTTAAAATTAATTTAATAGCAGGCAGCTATTAAGTTAAGGAAACAGACACAGCAACTTGAAATTAACTTTAATTATAACCTTATATTAACAATTCGTGGTTTCAATGCAACTCAAATAATGTTTTCAATAAAATTTATTTGAGTAATATTTTTTTCCCGTACGAAAAAAAATTAAAATAATCCGCGACGCGTCGTGGTTTTAATTTCCTTCGTCATATAAAGGTAATTGAAGAAATTTTACCTAAATAATGAACTTGTTAAGTAACATGTGTATTTATGTAACTGTTTCAATATCACTTCATACTTAATACAGTATTAACTTCAATTAATTATTAAAACTGCTTTTACTCTTTTAACATTAACAAAATATTTTATAAATATACAAATTGAAATTATAATGCGAATCAGTTATGCGTTTAAAATAAATTTGCAGACTAAATAAAATGTTACATAACGAATTATACGAGTATCGATACTAACAATTGCCTATAAAAAATAATTTAATTTGGTTTTCATTCAACATTTTAAGTATTTATTTATCAAATGTTTTAACAGCTGTACTATCCAGAATTATTTAATTAACCTACGAGCGATATTCAAGTATTTTAAAGGTCAATGAATTGAAATTTTTCAGCTAAAAATTTACTGTTTCAAGAATATTGAAATAAAAGATTTTAAGATACGACATTTACCTTCAAGTAAATATGATACAGCTGTTCTAAACAAATTTATGTTGTAATAAATTGGAAACTATTGTTTTTTGTTTCCATCTGTACTAAATTTGCCACAGTCGCAATTGACCAGATTTAAAAACTAACAAATCAATAAAGGAATTTATTTTAACACTTACATGATTTATAAATGTGTAAAATTACTCCATAAACTCCATTTCAACCAAAATTTAAGAAATGTATATTTTTCATGTTTACATCATCATGCCTTCATTTATTGTAAAATTGCATCAAATCGAGCTTCTTAATAATGTGCTTACGTATTATTACTTACGGTATACAATATGTGATGTTATTTAACTCATAATGCACAAAATTAGGACAGACTTCTGCAATTTATTTTATTGTTGCTTTTTTCAATTCGCAAAACATGCTTACGTATTTTGAAATCTTTTTTCATAAATTGAGCAATAACAAAATTAACACATAACCGACAGTCAAGCGTACTTTCTGATTTGGTGAAAGAATTGCACATGATTATTAAAATCTTCCTTAAGTACTTTCTTCAAATTTTAAGAATGCTAGTAAGTCTCTAGTTAAAATACTGGAATAATGAAAATTTTGATTTAGTAGAGGTTCACTTTATGATATCCGATTGCGCTGAAAATTTTGTTAATTGTAGTAAAATAATCAACCAAAATATTAAATTTCAAGATAGTTGGTCAATTTGTTCCTTGAATATGGTAAAAAATGTAAAATAGGAATATTAGGAAAATGTAAAATAAGTCAAAAATTAGACCCTAATAAAAATTCGGTTTCCGATCCTAACATTTCCAAAATGAATTATAGTTCATTGTTACAACATTCTAAGCTGAAATATTATAACATACATACAAGTATGTTATATATTAAATATAACATACTTTAGGTTTCCAAACTTTGGTTTTTTTTCTCAAAATTAACAGACTATGTAATTGGATATATTATTAACATACTATTAACAGATTGATATTAACAGACTGTATAGAATTAACAGACTATATAGTTAGTAACATTAAAATTTAATTCAACAATATTCTTAAATTCAGGGCTATTGCGCGTTTAATATATTCTTTATTTATAATGTGAATAAGAGGTAATAGAAATAATTACATATTACGTCATCGAGGTACTTATTAAAATACTAGTTTACTACTTTCGTTCATACACGTCATTTATTTGATTTCGCAAAAAAATACTTTAAAGCTTAAGATGAAATAAATTAAAAAATTTACACAATAGGGGAGAATAGTGGATATGGAACAAAATCGATACTTGATTTCATAAGAGCTAATAGAGTTAATGAAACTCAGGTGACAGATTTGGGAAAATCCGATTTCGTAACTCTTGGATCCACCCTAAACTCAAAAAGTGCCAAAAGTTATGAATGAATTAAAGTAATATTTAGCTGAAAATATTAACTTTTAACTTAAAATTCTTTTGTAGTGCATATGGTATATCATCTTTCACATATGTAGTGCATAATGGTATATCCTTGGAAACGTTTAATATTTTGAATAGGAAGAACGGTACTTTATCTAAAAAATATCCTTTTAAAATGCTAGTAGGAAATTATGGTATCCTGTTTCTATATTACAATTCAATATGGTTGTATGTAGGTCCATATTATGTCTATGTAAAAAATTTTTAATAACCTTGTATTGAAAATATCAATTATTTGGATCTAAGCATTCTCTTCGTTAAACTTTAATGTAAAATTTGCAAAAAAAAAGTATAGGAAGTAGGAAAAAATTGTCGACTTTGACTTTTAACTTTAAATTCAAGAATTCAAAAAATTCACAATCCATTAGAAAACCAGCTGCGTGATTATAAAAAAAAAGGAAAGATTAAATTCTTTATGAAAAAAAGTTCAAATAATATAAGGTCCTTTTAAATTTCAACTTTCATTGATTCCCTGCCTCACAATAAAATAAAAAAAAAAGGCTATAGAAAAATAAACACTTTTTTTTTTATTACAAAGGCGACACCATAGTACCTGTGGAGCATAAATTGTTTGAAAAATAGCAAAAAAAAATCGATAAATACCAGTCCTTTTTATGTATGTATATGTAAGTGATTTATGAAACTCTTTCCTAAATAGTACACGAACACGTACTCTAGAATATACACCTACAGTCAAGTAAAACAAAATATTTTCTAGAAAGGGGCATAGAGTAGCATTACCGATCTAAATGGAAAAATTCTATTTGAAATAGAAATAAAGAAATAGGAAAAAAATCTAAACAATTTTAAAGGTAAAATTAATGAGTCAAACAGCCTTTTTTTCCTTCAACTATATTTGAAGTTTATGAACAGTAAACAAGTAAAATGCTTATATATATATTTAACATTAAGAATTAAATTTTCCTTCTCATATAATTTTGTCCAGTGCACCATACTATACATCTTGTTAATGTGAAAAATGAAGTTATAAAATATGTTCCGTTTATAAAACTGCGATGGAAATAAGGAATACGTTTTTTTGTAATATATTATGTAGTTCGATGTTGAGCAACATTTTTAAGGTGCCGTTGTCACGAAATTGAAGAAGCGGCAGAATGCTTTAGAACAGAACCAAAATTAAAGGATCATCCCCTAACACAGCCTATTACAACAACAGTAATTTATAACTTATATCTAAGATTAGTAAGTTACGAATTACAGGTTATACCTATAAGTACTTAATTTAAAATACCAACACCCTAACTGAATAAATTAGAAAATTGTTACTTTTCAGGCGACTGCCCTCGTATAGTAAACTGCTTGTTCCAATGCGCTAAGTTGCACCAAATGGTGCCTTAGCCTTAAAAAATCTGTTACTAAAAACGGCATAACTGCTTTGAAAGCTTATTATCATTATGAGTTGAAGGCTATTGAATTTAACAATTACTAGAATCGAGTTTTAGCAATTATTTATTTGCGACACAAAAAAGAAATAGGGAATAAGACTCTGAGTGGTTGCGCATTATTCCACAAATAATTTGCTGCTTTTTTTTGTTTCGAGTTGTTTTTTTTTAAATCGATCTCTACAAATAAAATTTTAGAATTATGAAAAATTCTTTTATAAACTTTTATAAGTGACAACAATATAATATAAAAGACTTATTATTACGTTGGTTGCTGCAAAAGTATTTGCCTAAAATCAGAAACATTGTCATTCTTTAGATCAAGAATGGCATGCATTACATATAATATGCTTCTAGGATGAAGTTAAAGATGTAGTATTCAAAATAACAATATTATCACTATTTGATTGTGGACATAAAGTTCAAATTAAAGAGTATTTGGACAGTTTAATTAGGGAAGGATTTGCTAAAGATTATTCGCAAATTAGTATAGTGTTATAAAAAATATTGAAAGTGGTATGTAAGATATTTTAAACGAA